TCCTGCAAAGGTCTTACTGATACAAACCTCCTTGGCTAAGCCACCCCAGGAGCCCTTGGCATTACTCTAACACACGCTGTTTTCCAGCGAGGGGTTTGGGGGCAATCTGGATGACTTTACAGGCAGATTTCCTCAGGCTTATACATGCTGAGCTGTATTTAACTAATGGGACATCTTGGAGAGTAAGAGGCTATTCAGTGTAAGCAGGGACTCGGGACTGGCCGTGGCATGGAATTGTTGCGTACGGTTAAGATCTGCACACTCCAGTGAGATGGTTAATGGAGTTAATGCAGTTAAAATCAATGGGCTGTGCTAATTCACCTCGGCTGAAGCCCTCGGTGTCTGCGTTTCTCATGGCTTTTCAGTGCTTCCTTTAAACTCTATTAATTCTAACGTTTAATTGCAAACAAACTGACTGATGGAACAGTTAAAGAAAAATCAGCTGTAAAGGGTCAAGGATTTAACCTGTCCTATCTCTATTACTCCCACGCAGATCTTTCAGACCAGTTATTTGCATATGTTAAAATCTAATTCCAGTTGTTCATCACATAGAACTAGGTAAGCTTTTCTTTTTTTTTAATGAGAGATGTAACTTCAGGGCACTATTAAATTCTAATTAAAAATCAGTCAAAAGCACCCTTCTCTTAGTGTTTGTGCCTGCAGCAACACTTCCACTGTGGTATCAAACCTCAGTTCATTACTTCTTAATTAATTTTGCCTTGAGAAGCTCTAAGTTCTCAGAGGACCTGTTGGATTTTCAGAGCGTTGTCTGCATAGCGTTGGCTTATACGCAGCAGCCGCAGCCAAATGACATTCAGATCAGGAATTCTTACCCATGTAATCCAATTTGATACAATGACTGCAGCCAGCCAGCTTTCAGGAATCTGAAAGACCCTTGAAGCTCACAACACAGAGGATATCCTGCCGGGAGCTACTGATTGGGTAGGGATTTTCCCATCTCCCTATTCCCACTGTGCATATTTTGCAGTTGAACAGGTTGGTATATGGGTTGTTTGGGTTGGGTTTTGGGTTTTTGTTTTTTGGTGAAGAAATAAGAATGAGAAACTAGACTTGTTCCTGACCCCCAGGAAATCTTGTTTTCAAGTCCTTGAGTTGGCCAAGATTTGCCTTGCCAGGCTCCTGAAGATGTGCACGTTCGTTTTCAAGATAAGAATCCTGCAATCGTGGTCTCCCACTGCAAATGATTCATTTCCCCTCTTGGCCCGGCTGTGTGCGCACGTGTCTGAGGGTGGTGAGCCGGGGGCTGACCAGTGCCCTGGAACAAAGAAAGGAAAAGAAGGGAAGGGGTGGAGGAAAATAATCTACCCAGTCTCCCGGGGAACATTTTTCACTGGTCTAGGGCATTTTCACCTGAACAGTTTTTGCGATGAACGTAGCACAGAGGGGCCCAGGGTGGCTTGAGCATCCGAGCACTCCCCAAACTCTAAAAGATGGGTTTGGCAGAAGAGCATGATTTAAACTTGTCTCTCCAAGCTGGGAGGGACATCTATAGCTCCTGACCAAGCCAGGAAAGACCTGGATGGTATAAACTTTCATAAAAAAACCATTGAATTAAGCCTGGTTTGCCCAAGCAGACCCTGTAACTGTCAAAGGCAATAGTTCAAATCTACCTTCATGTGTATCCAAGTCTTCTTGCTGCAAGGCACAGAATTAGATGGGTGTGACTGAGGGAGCTGTGGATGAAAAAAAGTAGAAATGGGGAACAGGCAAGGCTTAAAACAAGGTTTTGAGGCAATGTCAGCTTTCTGATTTTCCTCTTGGAGAAAGTGCATGGAGAAAGGGGAAAAAATTAAAAATAGAAGGAAAAGAAACCTTGGTGAGTGGATGCGATCAAGGCATTTTGGACCCTGGGGAAAGCCCCCTCCTTTCCCCAGGGCATCCTTTCCTTTTCTTCAGCAACAGTTTAGATAAGTCTTGCTTCTCCTTTTCCCAGATGCTGACTTGAGGGCAGGATAGTGACTGGATATTTTGCTACTTCTCCTCTCTGCTGGGAATGATGAGGGAGCTGAGCAAGAAAACAGACTGGGCATCTTAAGGGGGACCAGGTATGAGTCAGCTCTCCCTTCTCATAGCCTGTCCGCACCGGAGCCAGCCGAAGCAGTTGTCAGGGCTGATGTCCTGAGCCACATGCCTGCCCATCCTTGTCCCCAGAGCCACACTTAACAGCACTCTAGCGATGGATGTATGGATAGCTCCACAAGCCTCAGCTGGTCTCATTTATGTGTTGTGGAGGCCAGGAGAGGTTAAAAGTCAATGCTAGGTTTGGTCCATATATGCTCTAGGATTTGATGGTCCTGTTATGTCATATAGCAGAAACACCCACCAGCTACCAGTTGAGACAATCATTCAGTTGAGCTAAGAGAGCTGCAGCCCAGCCTGGGTCAGGGACAGCAGGTTACATTTCTTGCTGTCCTCAGCAAAGAGTCAAAACCTCAACCTGCTTGATGCTGCAGTTGTAGATGTGCCAAGTCAGTGTGTACCCTTTGACCGCGGCCAGCACTATGGTGTGCCACCATAGCCATGTCAGTGCTAAAGAGAAGAAACTGAAAGTCTCTTCAGTATTGATTTTGAGGTTCATTTTATTTTTCCAACTTTTTATGACTGAAAGGCAGCAGACCTGACACTAATGTGCCCCAGAGATGTCTTCATTCAAATGCCAAGGACCACAGAGACTGTGGAGCTTGGATAGAAGACAACGGGGAAGGAGAGTTGGGTTCTTACCTGGGATGTAGGAACAAAGCTGGCCTGGCTTTCCATGGAGGAAAAAGTACAGCACAAGACTGTCAAGGCCATAGTGGTACAGAGACGGCAAATCTGGGGAGGAAACAGGGAGGCCCTTGCCTACTCCATGTGGCAGGGTAGGACCATTTTTCCTGATACGCTCTGGGATCTCACAGCTGCGTAATACGATTATAAGGGGGTGCATGGAAAGGGCTGGGGCAGGGCGTGAAGAGCCCATGGGCTGTCTAGCAAATGCACCTGAGCAGGCTCTATAGGAAGGGAATCTGCCTTACGCTTGGTATTCACAAATAGGCTGATTTACTGCCTCTGTGCCTGCCCAGACCGACTGTTCACCCTCCACACCGAGGGCTCATGAAAGGGGAAATATTCTATGCTCAGGGAGCCTTGGAAGATGTTAGCCAAAATTTTGGGTGGGGAGGTGAGCAAGGCTGAAGCCTGGTTTTCGCAGGAATCCCCTATATATTTGAACCTGCCCCCTTTTCTTTTCCTGTCGAGAACACCTGGCCACAGGGTGCTAGCTGCAGTCTGTGCAAGACCTCCTGGCAGGGAAAGCCAGTCACTTGTGAAAGACTTCCTAAGGGAAATGCTTACATCCACTGAGGTTTAGCATGCTGGAAAATGTACAAAAAGAAGAATTCTCGTGTAGGACAGAGGATGGCCTGGATAAGATAAGATAAGCGATCTTGTCAGCCTCTCAGAGCCCATCTATTTTCTTACACTGCGTTGCATCAAGCGAGGGTATGCTGGCTTGCTTCCAGCCTGTACCTCCTCACTTGCATCTGGGTGGAATCCCACCAAAGAGACTGAGCCCAGCTGCAGAGCTGAGGGTGCAAGTGGACCTTCTCCCTCAGCTCCTGCTCCCCTTCCAGTCCCTCTCCTTCTCTCGCCTCCCTGCCACCCCTTCTACCAGCTGGCAGAAGCCAGAGCATGACCCTTGGAGTACGTGCCTCTGCCCACCCTGCCTCTGCGACGTTTCAATGCTGAGCGCTCGGTGCTCCGGGATTACTGGGAGTAAGTTTCCAAGGAATTCATTTGTCATTACTTGCTAAATAAATGGAGTCTGATAAGAATCTGTGTTCTGCTTCCATAAAAACCTATAGATGCTGTATCTGGTGTCTAAGTAGTTTCTCACAAGAACACACACATTCTTCTCCATAAAAGCCGGAAAAGACCGCCTGGATCAGCTGTTGTGGTTAATGCTTGGGAGGGAGGCCTCTGCGCTTTCATTATCAGCAGTCGCCACGAAGTGTTGGGCAGGGAGGGCTCAGCAGCACAGCAGGAAAAGGGTTTCATATCTGGAAATAATCTTGCAGAAGTCTCTCCTAGGGCTGAAATTCTCAACAGGAGCCTTTCATCTGAATCCCCCGAGGCAGCAAGGCAACGGGCTCTCATCCTTTGGTAAAGCCTAGCAGGTTTTACATATTTTTTAAAAGCAATTAATTTTTTTTTAAACTCCATATGACAGAAACCATGAAAAGAATACATCTAGTCCCTTTTTATGATGGACATAAACCAACATATTCCACAAGTGGCATCCTCAATATTCTTCTTAGGAACAGGTCTGCGTCACATCTCCAGAGCACCTGAAGACCAGATCCTTAGAAGCCTAATTGCTGCTGAAATCAGTGTGATTTAGTTAGCTCCTTAAATACCTTATCAAATCAGACCTGTGCTCCCTTGCATGTGGTTGATACATGTATTCTCATAAAATCTCTGTGAAGCAGGACTGTATTTCAAGGGTTGAGGTACAGGGACAGAGTAACCGATGGTCATGTTTTCTGAAGAGCCTGGAGTAAATCACAGCAGTTTGAAAACCCCACTCCTGCAATTTGTCCAAAGTCTGGGAGAGAGTCTAGGGGCAACATTCACATCTCCAGCCCCCAAACCTGGACTTCACAGGGCCAAGTGGACGTCAGCTAGAGCTCGTTAATTCCAGTAGTCTTTTAATTTTTCTATTATTACATATACTTTTTCCATTATAGAAACATCAGGCATTGGGGAGGGTGGGGAAGACTTTTGTGCTTCAAATAGGTCTTCACAAAAGGGCTAAAAAAAATCCCACAGAACACTCAAGATAACATTGTCATCTGTAATATTAGTAACGCACCCAAAATGGAAAACATTCTTGTTGTGAAACTCTCAGGTTGCTGTTTTGTTTGCTCCTTATTAAGAGTTAATAAACAAAACTGTTTGGGTTAATTTTGTCATGTGTACTGCGAGTTGCTAAGTAACATGGCTCCACTCTGCCTGAAGTCTGTGTGGTGAGACAACCCAGAGAGGCATTAAAGCGCTATAAAATAAATGGGATGGATCACATTATAGTGTACCAGACCCTGGCTTTCCATTTGGAGCATGGATTTTTTTTTTTTTCCCCTTCCCTTGTTTTAGGTGTAGAAAAACCAAAGATACAGAGTCCACCTGATGTATGAAGGGCGAAGAGCAGGTTATGCAGGTGGGAAGCTGTGTGGCTCTCGCTGGGAGATGATGCCTGCGGGGTCCTGCCCGTTGCTGAAATAATTGCTGGGCTGGGGGTGATGTGCAGCAGGAAGGCAGACACCAAAGGGCCAAGGAGGAGAGTGAGGAAATTGCCTTGGTTGTCACAAGATCTGGGAGGTTTATGCACAGGATTTTTAATCAGGAACAGGTGGAGAGCTTGAGTCGTTGGAAGGTCCTACGTGGTGGCCCACTGTAGAAGGGAAGGCACCCTACATGCTCTGTACGTCTGTGGTGCTACAGGGGCTATGGTTCTGCTAGATTTCCCTGCTGCTTTCTAAAGAAAAGCCTCTCCAGGATGGCTTTTAGTTCCTAGCAGGGATAAAATAAATGGGATGGATCACATTATAGTGTACCAGACCCTGGCTTTCCATTTGGAGCATGGATTTTTTTTTTTTTTCCCCTTCCCTTGTTTTAGGTGTAGAAAAACCAAAGATACAGAGTCCACCTGATGTATGAAGGGCGAAGAGCAGGTTATGCAGGTGGGAAGCTGTGTGGCTCTCGCTGGGAGATGATGCCTGCGGGTCTCTGCCCGTTGCTGAAATAATTGCTGGGCTGGGGGTGATGTGCAGCAGGAAGGCAGACACCAAAGGGCCAAGGAGGAGAGTGAGGAAATTGCCTTGGTTGTCACAAGATCTGGGAGGTTTATGCACAGGATTTTTAATCAGGAACAGGTGGAGAGCTTGAGTCGTTGGAAGGTCCTACGTGGTGGCCCACTGTAGAAGGGAAGGCACCCTACATGCTCTGTACGTCTGTGGTGCTACAGGGGCTATGGTTCTGCTAGATTTCCCTGCTGCTTTCTAAAGAAAAGCCTCTCCAGGATGGCTTTTAGTTCCTAGCAGGGCCAGGCAGGCCAGATTGGACACAGTTTCAGGAGGAGGGCTGGGAGAAGGGAAAAGCTGGATTAGATGGTGACCATGTGAGATGCTTGGAGCAGAAACCTGTCTGTCTGAGGGATGGGGGAAAGGCAGTGATATTGCTGTAGCTTTCAGACAAATGGACTTCTCTTTAAAATGGTGA